TGTTTTACATTTGACAGCAAACTTGACACACCCCAAAGTATGGCACTTTGAAATAATGAAAGAAATCTGAGAAATAAGGACTTGCTGACCTTCCCTTAGCAGTTCCTAAGACCCTCATGTGAGGGAGGGAGAAAGAAACTTCTTTGCAAAAACAGGGATGCTGAGAGGGTCTAAAGGAGCAGGCCGTGCTGTCTTCCCCAGTTTACTATCCTTTCATATCGCATTTTCTAGGATTCCCCATTTTCATCATACCTAACATAAATGCTCAGGTGTAAAGACTACCTCGGATTTTCATTTCCAAACAAATGCTCCTGTGTCAAGTAAAACTTACGTTAAATAAATTTGTGTGCTTTGTTCTTATAAATCTGTCTTTTGTTACATATATCCCATCCAAGAATTTAGAAAAGTAGAGGAAAACATTATTTATTTTGTTCCCTACAGTTTCAATATGAATATTTAACTAGAAATTTCTCTGGGTATGATTAGTCACAGACCCTCTCTCCTACCAAATGAGACACGAAAGTATGAGGTAGACAGTCGATTTAAGAGATATAATTTTTGGTCCCTCCCTGGTGACGCAGCAGGTTAAAGCGCAAAAGTAAGAAGATAGAGCTGCTTCAGCATGAGTTCGATCTCCATCCCAGAGGTGACCCACATGGCACGCAGAACTCTCCTGACCTGCCCACTGCTCCCCTCAGGAGTGTACTTCATCGATCTGCCCCTCTGCTCCCCTCTCTGTCTCTGGTGAATCCTCTCACTGCCCCTGCACCTCTGGCCTGTACCCCAGTTTTGTATGTACAAATAAATAGATATAACTTTTAATGGTTAGAGGAATTATTCCTAGTTCATTAAGACATTTAAAAAAAATAGGAATAGTGACTATACTATCAATATGCAAGATAAATATTTAAGATACCCATAAAAATGAGAAATTTAGTGAGCAACATCATAAGTTTACAGAGAAAATTCTCCAAAAATGAGAATTTAAAAAAAAATTTCTACTTCTATTATTAATCTCTCACAAAGTTTAAGCAGAAAGATCCAACATACCTCTTGTATAGCTGTCATCACCACATGTTGGACAGATTCTTCCATCATCATAATGGCTTGGATGTACTCTGAAAACAAGAACAATCTGGAATGTCACTGTCCAAATTAAAGACTATCAAGGGAATACAGGCTTACATTTCACCATTTTTAAAAGTATTTCTTATGAATTGATTCCTCTTATGAATTTCTTATATATGGTTAAATATATGTACAAAGGTAAAATGAAGATGGAAAATTACAGTATTTATTATCATTCTTTAGGATAATCTCCCTCCCTCATCATTCCTTATATAAAATCACAGGGACTCGGTCTCAGGAGTGTAAAACAATGAGCTGTGAAGCCTTAGATCAGGATGGGATGACTCCATGTCACTTATTTCTAGAACCTAAATATAGATGGTGTTTTATATTAGTCTTGTTACATGCTAAAATTTTTGAAGCCTATGCATTGTTCCTATATGACATCAAAGCACTGAATTACATGTGATTCCTGTGTGAGTCCTATTTTAATATTTTGAAAATAAAAACAATGAACCTTAGAGCTGCTCTGGACAGAAAACTAAGATGGATTTAAGGTAGAAATGGATACTGTAATTAAACAAACACTGTACAACACTGGGCTTTAAAATAATGACCCGTACCTATAAAGTATCACTGTCAACATTCTTACCTTCATCACTGCCAAAAAAGAGAACAATCTCTTAACTGTTAGCAGTGACAAAGTTGAAACAAATGTCTAAAAAGCCCTGAAAGCAGTTTTCACTATTTCCAAATCCAACAATGAATGAAAAAAGCATTTTAAAAAACCAATAGGTGAGCTGGAGTCATACAAATATGGTAAATGTTTAAATGAAACATTTACAAGAATAACTAGGAAATTTTAGCCTGAACCTACCTTCTCCACCTACCCCCAAATAAAACAATACAGAACTGTCTTGGCATGAGATCAGTGTTTTTAGAATGCCAAACTATAATCCTTTGCTTGACAGGTAACTTGTTTAAAAAAAGAAAAGGTGTCTTGATGGCACAGGTAAATCATCACATCCTAACATTCTGGTTTTAATGTCAAAGTTTTTAGTCAATTTAAAACATGTTTTTAATGAAGCATTGTCCTAAAGATACATGCACCAAATCAAATATGCAGTGATATATACAAATACATATATTGCAGTTAAAGCACAGGCATTGTTGTTAAGCCAATAGGAATACACCATACTGAACCACTATTTGGTAGAAAAAAGAATTCCTTTCATCTGAGTTTAAATTGTATTTTGTTTTTGTTAATGAGAAATACTCTATGAGTTTTAGAATACAGCAAGGGAGTGTAACTAGACATTTTATGCAAAGGTCACAGCTGGAAAGAAATCACAGAAATTTAGTGAACTCCAAGGCTATGAAGAAACTGGCACAGGTAGGGTGGCTAAACAACTTTCAAAATAAAAGATTGTGAACATGGAAGAGAAGCAACAGTGGCACTGATAATGGGGGAGGAAGAGCTTAGTGACAGTCTACTGGAAGTGCAGAAGTAACGGTGGGAGTAGCGAAGCAAAGATGCTAGTAAGGTGTGAGAGGGGAAGCGTTAGTTAAGAAGCGGTGTTGCCACGTCAAGGCCCTTCCCCGCGAACACCGTAAAATGCCAAATGATAAAATGATGATGAAAACTACATTAATGTACAAATTTTGGAAAAAATTATATTTATAGTTCAAAGTACAAGTATAAATGATTACTGAGTGCAGATCATTGAGGGAATGATGGAATATAAAGTGTACTATTCCAGGGAGTTTATCCTAAAAATGTAGCTGTTAGATCCAAAATTTACTGCACAGTTTAATAAAAAGAATATGAAGTGCAGAAAAGACATAGGATTGTGCCCTCACCTAGCCTCTCACAAGTCAGACATCTTGAGCAAGTATTATATTAATATTTATTAGTCTTAGCTTCTTAATCTGTAAAAAGCATTATTGTGGGCCCTCCCTGGTGGCGCAGCAGGTTAAAGCACAGCATTAAGAAGCTAAAGCCACTTCCGCATCAGTTCGATTCCCGCCTGTCCTGGAGGTGACCACATGGCGCGGCAGACCTCTCCTGACCCGCCCGCTGCTCCCCTCAGCAGTGTACTTTGTCAATCTGCCTGTTCTGCTGCCCACTCTGTCTCTGGTGAAGCCTCTCGCCACCCCTGAGCCTCTGGCCTGTACCCCAGTTCTGTATACACAAATAAATAAATCTTAAAAAAAAAAAAGCATTATTGTCTGTTAGTTCCTGGTAGGGTACCAGCAGCAGGGAGACACCAGTAACAGGTAGTATGGTTTCTACTCCTAGTCTTTGCTGTCTAAAATCCGCCACCATTTGTTTTGTCGCAATGTGAGAAGTCAGGTAGTTAGGGTAAGTACACGGTAAATCAGCATGCAGAGCATTGTTCCTACTACTTCTGCAGGAAAAAGTAATCTAGACATAAAGGCCCATTTATGTGTATGGTGCCTTATGCATTACAGAGCAAACACACACACACACAATTTCATTTACTCCTCATGACTACCACACTTATGAGTACATTCTTAGCTTGTAGGGGAAGAAAGAGGCTGAGTATCTTGTCAAATGTCAGTCACTTTGGTACACTGGGGCAATGGGAAGCACAGAGCCATTAAGTAACTTTAGTAAGCCTTGTCTTACACAGCAAGTCATCAAGTAATGTTTCATTATAACACTGATGAGGAAAAAAAATAATTCCTTGCTGGGGCCACTGTCCACATGGAGCCTGCCCTCTCCCCATGTCTTTGTGTGCTTTCTTCATGGTTTCCTGCTTTGACTCAGAGCTGCCAGAATGGATTCTGGACAGTCAAAACAAGCGGTTTGGAAAATGAATAACTAAACACAAGTTCCTGTTTAATGTTAGTAAGTGTTTGGGGTCTATATCATAAGTTTGGTGGTTTCTGTGCAGAGAAATAGATAAAGGAACTAAACTCTCATTTATATCAATCAGTGTGTGGTAAAACTGATTTTGTTGCAAATAAAAGTTGCAGTTCCCAAGACCCTATGACAATATTAAATGAAGACCTATACAGACCATAAATGTGCAGTGACAGGTAATACTTAACCCAGAAATTCACTCAAGAGAAGAGAATATCCTCTGGGTAAAGCGAGATGTTAAAGTCTTGTTCAAAGTTCACATCATCTGGCACCGGGGACTGCTCCTGTCTTACTGCTGCTCCCTCCGCACTGAATTTCAGTTGATCTGCCTGTTCTGCTGCCCCCTCTGTCTCCGGTGAATCCTCTCACCCTTACCCCTGCACCTATGGACTATACCCCACCCTTGTTTGCATAAATAAATAAATCTTTAAAAAAGTTTACATCATTTATATGCAATTTCAGGGGAAAAACTAAATCCAAGTATTAATCCAAGTATTAATGTCTGCATGAGAATCTAGATAAATATCAAGATTGCCTTGTTTTCTAAAAAAATGACTATAGATCATGTCCTTGTCTTTTCTAATATAATTTGCTAACTCTTCAGATATATTCTTCTAAGGACCCTTATGCATTATGTATTAACTCCAAGCTCTGATGTATCTTCTAATAAAATACATAAAAAGTCACTTGCTGAATTCAGTGGATTATATTACATTATTTTCACCTATCTTTTAAAAGAAAGCATCTACTTAAGAGATTCAATGTGTTTTGAATCTTATTTATACCAATCTTTAATGCTGTCCGAGAAGCTTGATAGACACACTTCAGTAATAACAAAAATCACAAATATAGAAGATCCTCTAATTCTTGACCTAAACTAAATTAGAAACAACCTAAAATTATTTTAAGAGCATGGCATGCTAAAATTTAAAAGGAATAGGGTTAGGAGTCCACCCTGGTGGTGCAATGGATTAGCACTATGAAACTAACCTTGGCCATTGCAACATGAGTTTGATCCCTGGCCAAAGAGGTGACCAATATGGCACAGCAGACCTCTCCTTACTCACCTGCTGCTCCCCTCAGCAGTGTATTTCAGTAGATCTGCCTGTTCTACTCCCCACTTTGTCTGTGGTGAATTCTCTCACCCCCCACACCCCTGGCTTGTACCCCAGTTATCGTATGCATACAAAAATAAATCTTTAAGTAAAAGGAATAGGGCTAAAGAGAAATACATTTTTAGAAAAAAATGAAACAGAGGCTAATAAAGCTAGTCATAGCTTCAAGAACATTAACTATTATTACACTTATCATGAGAATACTAAAAAGCATAGACAAATCCGTACTGGGAACAAGAAAAGGACATTCAGGCTAAACAAAAAACCTTCAAAGGTCAGGTAAATAACAATACTGTGTCAGAATCTTTGGAATCGCCCGTTTACCTTTCTCCTGATTCATTTCCTTTATCCCTTCTTCATTATTCTAGGCTTTAGTTGTGGTTTTATTTAAACTCTGAGGGGTTTAAAGGAAAACTAGACAGGCCTCCCTAGTGATGCAAGTGGTTAATTCTCAGCTCTACGAAGCTACCTGAAGCCAGTGCAGCACAAGTTTGATCCCCAGCCAGGGAGTTGACCAACATGGTGTGCAGACCTCTTCTGTCGCACCGGCTGCAGGGTGCTTTCAGTAAATCTGCCTGTTCTGTAACCCACTCTTGACTCTAATGAATCTTCTCGCCCCCATACCTCTGGCCTATTCCTCAGCTCTTGTATGCATAAATAAATTTTTTTTTAAATAAAGGAAAATTAGTCTTTCTGACATTTAGTTTCTCTATTCAGTTTGCTTAATCTACTATGTTCCACATCTTTGCTTAAGTAACTTCCTTGAGCCAATCAAGTCTGTCCACTATGACATCTGCCGTCACAGCACTGACCACTCACTAGTCAGGTCACACAGTTGTATGTAGCATTACTCATTGCCTTCTTCTTCCACTCAGCTACAAATTCTATGAGGGAAGTTCTGTGTCTGCTTTGTCTGACAAGTGTTCAGGGGACCCAACAAACTGCCTAATTTCATAAAATAAATCTTTCTTAACTGCAACTAAAATATCCAATTTTAAGTTTTCAGAGCTGAACTGATCCCATATATTAGATCAATCATTGCTAATATTAAGTATTATTTAATTTAGCTGGTCCATTTCCAAATAAGAGCAAGCTATATCACATTCAGGATAGTTAAAAACATATGCTTTAAAAATTATGCAGTGTTGGCCCTCCCTGGTGGCGCAGCAGGTTAAAGCACAGCACTAAGAAGCTAAAGTCACTTCCGCATGAGTTCGATTCCCGCCTGCCCCGGAGTGACCATATGGCATGGCAGACCTCTCCTGACCCGCTCACTACTCCCCTCAGCAGTGTACTTCGTTGGTCTGCCTGTTCTGCTGCCCACTCTGTCTCTGGTGAAGCCTCTCGCCGCCCCTGAGCCTCTGGCCTGTACCCCAGTTCTGTATGCATAAATAAATAAAATTTAAAAAAATTATGCAATCTTGCACAAAGGAGAAGAGTATCATTTTCTTTCTTTTTTTTTTTTAAGATTTATTTATTTATGCAGACAGAACTGATGTACAGGCCAGAGGTGCAGGGGGTGTTGAGAGGATTCACCAGAGACAGACTGGGAAACAGAACAGGCAGAGTGACAAAGTACACTGCTGAGGGGAGCACTGGGCGAGACAGGAGAGGTCTGCCACACCATTTATGTCACCTCCCTAACTGGGGAATCAAACTCATGCTGAAGCGGCTGCAGCTAGCTTCATAATGCTATGCTTTAACCCGTTGCACTACCAGGGAGGACTTGGAACTTAATGAAGTTTATTCTAACTAGCTTCAAAATGAATTATTAGCAAAATACCAGAAAATGGCATTCTTTGAGAGTGCCCTTAAAGATTTCATTGTTTGTTCTGGTGATCATATATGAAATACACTACACATATATAATTTTTCTTAGTTTTGAATGTATACATTTAAATAAATTACCTTGCTTCTGTTCACAGTTCACAGCACAGCCTAAAATGAGTTGAAGCATCCTTCCAAGCTCTGCAGCATCCGAATGCTCCCCAATAAGGTTCACATCAGGAAGGGTAAAGTCATTGATTTGCTGCCCTAAAATCTGAATGAAGATACAAAGGTTAGAACTGCATTTACATTTATATGACCCAATAAAAGATTTGATAGAGGTTAGTTTGTCAGCATCAGAAACTCACTGTTCAGGACAGAGCTGTTATGTCAATCTCACTCCCAATTTCTATTTTACCTCCTATACTAAATTATAACTATCCAGAGAAATTGCAATGTAGACCCTAATCTGGTATAAGGTATGTACATGAACAAAGAAAATGAGCACTACTGATTCCTCCACTACTCCCAGAAAAATTGGAGGTGTTTCCTCTGAAAATGTAGTCAGAGAATTCTAAACTCATCAGGAGTACCAGATAAGTAGAGATTAAGATAGGCTCATGCTCCCAACAGTAAGATTCTCTTTCATCATCTTTATTCCATGTGACTCCAAAATACTGACAGTAAGACACCTATATCAGGAAAGAAAATGGTGCATTCTTTCATGGAGAACCTGGTCCCAAGTGAAATGACTTATATGCAGACAAATGGACTGGTCTCTGTCAGATAACCCTACAGAGGAAAAGGAGGATCCTAACACAACCTGCATAGACAGGGTGAGTGTGCTGTGGTGTCATGGGTGATGAGAGAACAATGCATGGGAAAGTAGAAGAGGTCTTACAGTACCTGGTTGCTTGGGCTAAAAAGCACGGATATGATGCTTACCATAGCAGAACACCACAGTAAATTTTGGAAAGTTTTAAAAAGTCATCTGGCTTTGGAGTGCAGAAGAGACTCCAGGGACGCAAGTGGAAATAGGGCAACCAGTTAGACAACTCTAGTAAGTACTATGAGATAGAGAAGATAGAAGATGTAGATATAACTGCCGGTAGCGTGGGAGGAAAAACACAGGAAAATAACATAGGTGTGCAGTTTTGGTGTATCCATTTGATATGTGAGTTCATGAAATTTAAAGTAAAACTAGTTAGCACTAAAGACAGATTTTTACTGCAGCAATGTCTTAGCTGTTCTGTTGCAGGTTTAAGATAAAATGATTTAGTCTAGGGAATTTGCCAAGAAATAAAATACAAGTAAATATGGAGTTGATTATAATAGCAATGCATAGGCTCTAAGCTATATTTGTAAGTAAGGAAAGAAAAAAAAGTTCAGCATATATTAGTGATCATCTACAAACTATACAACTGTAATTTCACTGATAGAAATTATCTAGTAACTACCTAATAGATGATTGCATGAACTAACATCCTTGAAATACACAACTAATTTTGAGGTAATTTTTCCTTTTCTTGAAACTTTTAAAAAATACTGTAAAACTAAACAATCTTATAGTACTATTCCCAAGCAGAATGAGAAAAAGTCCTTACCTCATGATTGTAATCCAGGATTCCTTTTAATATTTTCTTTAAATTGCTTATCTGTTTAAAGAGAGAGGAAATGACTTGGTTTTTAAAAGGCTTCAAGCACAGATCAAAATGTAATTTAACATAAAACATTTCAGAACTAACTAACCATAAAGCAAATTAAAACACCCAACAGCATATTTAAATTACTGTCATCATCAAAAAAGATCAATGCTTTCTTTGATCCAAGAGATATATAAAACACATTTTCTAATTACAGAAAAATTTTGATGTTTTAACAATATGGATAAAAATGAATTTAATTTAATTTGATTTTTTTGGAGGTAAAAAACATGCCATCCTAAATGAAGACTTGAGTTCAGTGCTATTTTCACTCAGAAAGAGACGTTGCATGTTACACAGGGAGCTAATTAAGCAATTAAACAAAACTTGCAGTCAAAATTACCTTTAGGAATCTCCAAAGCAACCTAAGGAAGATGTTATAACCTGTAGAGGAATATCTCCAAATTCCTTCACTGTCAGAAAAGACTATGTTTGTGTTCTTAGTAATTGTTAATTGTGCGTTTTTAAACTAACACACAGTAAAATTAAAATTGACATTTTTGGTCTACAGTTTTATGAATCCTAACATATATGAATTCGTGTAACCACCACCACCATAACCAGAAAACGAAATAGTTCCGTCTGTGCATGAATGTTTACAGCAGCTCTATCCACAATCTCTAGAAACTCAGGAGCAACCCAAATGCTCTTGGATGAGTTAATAAACAATTTGTTGCACTTCCATACAATGAAAAAACTACTTTACAATAAAATGGTTCAAAGTCCTGATACATACAACAAACTGAATGAAACACATTCATTACACTGAGTAAAAGCAGTTAATCTAAAGAAATTGCATGTTGTATGCCATTTATATATAACATCATTATTTTTCAATATTGCATTATAATATTATATAAGTTTCAGGTGTTCATCATTAAAAATCAGCTTAACGCATCAGGTTCACCACTAAAAGTCCAGTTCTGTCCTTTACCATATAATTGACCACCTTTCACCTACACCCTTCTTCCTCATTCCCTTCCGTTAACCACTAATTGGTCTTAAGAGAATTTTAAAAGTTTCTTTCTGTTTTATTTAGACTGTTTGATTTTTCTATAGGCTACAGACTTGTGAAACCATACAGAGCTTTCCTTTCCCCATCTGATTTTTTTCATTTTGCATAATACTTCCAGGTAGGGTTTAATTTTTTTATAGCTGAGTAGTATTGCATTGTTATACACTATATCTCCTGTTCTCTAATTATCTGTGGATGGGTACACTCAGGTTGTTTACAGCTCTTCAATATTGCAAATAATGCTGTAATGAACATGGGGGTAAGCACGCTGTTTTAGTTGTAAATATTTAGGAGCCATGAGGTTAAATAAAACATACTATTATATCTTGAAATGCTAGTATAACAGTCTTGCAAAATTCTTATGCTATAAAGAAGCATCTCAGTATGGAGACAGGATGAAGGACCAACATACAGACATTGCCCAAGAATCAGCACACAGGTGCACTGGCTGAAATGACAAAATTATGTATTTTATTTACTGTAAACTGTTAGTCCCCCCCTTTTTTTTTTGACTCATTTGGTTGAATTTGTATTATGTTAAATGTGCACACACTACAATTCTGTTAATTATCTACTTAGTCAACCTCTAGCTAATATTAGCATTTAAAGATGTCCTAGCACAAAGCATTATAGAATCTAAGGCTATCACATAGAATAGGCTGAATTATAGCTGCAGAACACAGTGTTTAATCATACCAATTTTTTTAAGGAAGAAATAAGTCAAAAACTGATTTTTACAAAATACATCATTAAAGAGGTTTATGCTTCCAAAAATGGATAAACTGGTAATATGCATTAAACATGATTTTGTTCTAGGATGTTCATTTTTTCATATTTTAACATTTAAGATAACGTGATCATAAAAAGTCAATGTGGTCATTTAAAAATGGGAGTTTCCCATTAAAAAAAAGTGTTTATCTTATTTAATCAGTGATACATTAAAATTAAAGAATATAGGATAAAATATAGAGAATAAGAATGCAGCTCAGTACTGACATTTTCAGTTCTGTATATTATGAGTATAACAATTTTTCCCTTCTCCTATTATTGCCTTTTCAACACTTGTGACACTGAATACAGCATGTGTTTGTTTCTATGAGTACTTTGTATGTGTGTGGTGACATATGCAACCCCCCTTGCTCAAGCCAGAGAGCAAACACAAAATGTTTAGCACATTATTTTAAACATTCATGAATTGCTCTTAAACATTAAAAATTTATTTTAATTGACCATTCTTCAATGATTATTTAGAAATTAAAAGTCATTAAACAATGCCCATTCATTCTCATTAAAAAAGAAGTAATTAGATTATGGCAAACCCAACATATAAACAATCAGTAAATATTTTTCATCAAATACTCATTTTTTATGGGGAAATACAAACAAATGGAGCTTTATGTATTTTAAGTCCAGGGGTTTTACATACTTGTTTACATTTCTGAGTTTCTACATTCTATATCAAAAAGAAATGGTTCTAGAGTTATTAAAACTGCTAGTCATGATCATTACTGGATCATGAAAATCAATCAGTGTACCAAATAATAGACATGGAGGACACATAAGTGGTTTTTGGGACTAGAGAAGGGTGCAGTGGTGTAGATGTGGACATAGAAAGCAGCAGCAGGGAGTCTCGTGGAGAGGGAATGGTTCTGCATCCTCAAGGTGGTGGCCGCAGCATGACTGTCCAAACTGACAAAGCTACACAGAACTATACACACCAACAGAAAAGAGTGTGTAAAACTGATGAAACCTGAGTGACACTGTTGATTGTACCAACATCAGTTCCCTAGTTTTGATATTACATTATAATTACATAAGACATAACCATTAGAGAAATTGGGTGAAAGGTATACAGAACTTCTATTTAGTGGGTTACAAGTGATACTTTAAAAAATAAAAATATTACTGCATAGAATAAGGGCAAAAACGTGATCAATTATATGTATATGAACATAAATATGGGGAGCAGGCTGCTCTGTAAACTATTTACCTTGTTGTGGGTTTTGGTCAAAGAAGACTGAGAAATACTGAAATTTAAGGGTATTGGGAAGGAAATGAAAAAGAATTCATTTGCTGGGTGTTGTTGGACAACTGATAATGAGCAACATTTTCTCACTAATAATAATATACCAACTGATGTGCTATGCTACATTCTAAAGACAGCACATATAGTAACTTATTTCGTAAGGTAGAAACTATGATAATCTTCATTTTGCAAATGGGAAAACAGGCACAGAAAGGTTAGAAGTTTCCCAAACTAAGAAAGGGAAAGTTGGGCCATTGAGACAAGCATTCTAGGTCTACAGTTCACATTCTCGAGACTATGCTTTGCTGACTCACATTCTATCCTGCTGAGCAACTTCAGGTTACTTCCAAGACTCAAGTCTGGATTATTTCACTAAAGGCTACATAAGTTTCTAAAGCTCACTAGATACAACAGATAAAAAAAATCAACAAATGTAAGTCAAAGTCAAATTAACCAATGGAAAAATAAAAAGAATATACCTTTAGCCTCCAATTATCTCCTACTTCGGTTTTGATTCTGTTAAGCCAATTTTCATCAAAATATGAAGGATCTCTGCAAATAAGAAAAAGCTAGCATATTAAGATCATGTAGCTATAAAGCTTCAAAAGTAAGTAAAACTGAAACTCATCCCATATCATTACTTAACTACAAAATAAAAATGTATTTGCCACATATTAACCACTAAGTAACTCAGATGAATGGATACAATCATAGTCCATCAGCTCATTAAAATTTTATCAAAATGTAAACTAAAAGAAAAAGATACAGTTAATATAAGATAAAATTGTAATAGAATAAACTATTCTGAAATTAACAAATTGTATATACTACACTAGTACCTAAAAATAGGCAAAAATCAATGGCAGGATTTTAAATAGAAAAGAATGTTATGATACACTTTTTCAGTTAAGATTTCACCTACTTTCATCACCTTGATACTTAGAAGGTCACCAACAATGTCACTGAATTTTTTATTTCTTTTAATAAACTGAGAACCTAGCCCCTCAAAGTTACTAGGCATTAGACAAAGGTGAACATATCTCTAAGGTTCAAAATCTAAGATAATATTGGCATGGGCATACAATCTTAAACAAGAATAGAAGCTGACTAAACTTGGGTTTAACTTATTTTGAAAATTTCCCAAATCCCTATTAATATCTAAAACAAAAAGAACCTTTTTTGTCCAGCATGATCCTCAGTTTTAAGGCTTGAAAACTATGCTCTAAAAAATTATTTGTTCAAGTTCACAGACTGAACATCTGTTTGTCCTACTCCAGCATAGCGTGAAATTCAAAGCTCTTTCCATAGCATCCCAGCTGGGTCAACTCAATTTATATAGTCACCCTAAATGATAAGTACAATTAGCACTAATTTTTGCCCACGTTATCTTTAAATGAAACAACATGCTCCTGAAAATTTCAGAATTTTATTAAAAAGGAAAGATGTACTTATTTTAGTAGTATGCATTAATGAAAAAGTTACAACTAAGTTACTTCTGATAAATCTATTATGATTGTTTTTGAAATTTGTATCATTAATGCAATAACATTAATTTCAGTTTTTCTATTTTTGAAAACAGCTTTATCAACATCTTGCCCATTTAAAGTATACAATGCAAAAACTAGTATATTCACAGAGCCGTAGCTCCAACACCACAATCAAACTCCAGAACATTTCCAACTTTTCAAAAAGAAGCCGTCCATTAGCTGTCACTTTACACTTTCCTGTCTCTGGTGCACTTTCTGTCTTTACGGGTTTACCTATTCTGGACATTTCATATAAGTGTAGCCATACATTATGTAGACTTTTGTGCTTGGATTCTATTATGTAGTATTTAGGATACAGGTCCCTTCTCAGACAAGAAATGAAGTAAGTCTCCTCATTTGAAGAGCTGCCTTTTTACTTTTGGATGTCATAATTTGCAACACAAGGTATTTTTTTTAATGATAGTCTATTTTTACACCATTTTGTGCCTTTTTCTATCTCAGTTGTAATCCCCATGGGCTTCCCATCCCCAATTCACCCATGTGCCATCACCATAGTCCAGTGCACCCCACCCCCATTTCTGATCCCATTCCCCACTCCACCCCTGTAAAATGTCTCTGGTATATAGTTGCTCATCCCACCCACCCCCAACACCCCCCACTCTTGGTCCTTTATGCTCCTGCTATGAGGGAAACCATCCAGTATTTTTCTTTTTCTTTCTGGCTTATTTTATCAAGCATGATCCCTTCCAGCTCTATCCATGTTGCTGCCAAAGGCATGAGTTTATCTTTTTTGCTTGAAGAGTAATAATTCATTGTGCAGCACAAGATTTTTTACACTGATAATGTTCAACTTACCGATCTTTTACTTTTGGTATTGTATCTAAGAGGCTTTGTCTAATTCAAAATCAGGAAGATTTACTCAATATTAGCTCTTATGCTTAGATTTATGATCCATTTGTATCTTGTGTAAAAAAGTGGTCTAACTTCATTCTTTTGCATGTGGATATTCATAACCCATTGATTTTTGTTTTAGACCTAATCTAGCTTCTTTAGTGAAGGACCTTTTGTTACTAGGTTAAGAGAAAGCAATTTGAGCAAATGTATGCAGACAAGGAAACTCATTAGAAGATCACTGAGGCGTATTCCTGTAATGAATTATAACTGGGACTCCTGAAGAACTGGAAAAAGGATCTGGAAAGCTGTGTTTAAAATCCAGAGAGAACACTTTCTGACTCAATCTTTCCATCTACATTTTTTCCCTGAGACCAACATGTTTTATGTTTCTCTTTACACGAAGTTGGAGATAGCTGCAGACATGTTTCTAGTTTTCACTACTTCAGTTCAAGCAAATAGCATCAAGACAAACCATTCCTCAGTCCTAATTCAAAATTTCCAGGAAAATCTAAATAAATCAACTAGAGTCTGTTTTTCCACCTCTAATCCCATTATATGTGACAAGAAAGATAGAGAACCAAAAGAAAGACACACATTTTAGGGGGAAGAATGATCACATATATGAAAAGAGTTCAGAAGAGGATGAATTTTCAGAGAACGGGAGTGCTAAAAATTGGTAACTCCCCCCAAAAAAAAAAAAAACTCTTGTAAAAATAGATAATGAGGACTCTCACTGGTGGAGAAATGGGTTAAAGCACCACATTATGAAGCTCTCTGAAGCCACTGCAGCACAAGTTCGATCCCCAGCCAGGGAGTTGACCCACATGGCACAGCAGACAGACCTGACTATCCCACTGCTCCTCTCAGCAGTGTATTTCAGTCAATCTGCCTGTTCTGCTTCTCATTCTGTCTCTGGTGAAGCCTCTCACCCACCACACCTCTGGCCTGTACCCCAGTTCTGTATGCATAAATAAATAAATCTAAAAAGAAATAGATAATGAATAAACCTTTTGTAAAAATAGATACTGCAAACAAAAAAAATAACTGAAGTGAATTCAGGAATAAGTAAATTATGAAATAATCATAAAAATTCAGGAAATAAAAAATATTCATTTTGAGGGACACTTTTTAAAAAATCTAAAAAGCTATAATCAAAAACATAATCCTTGCCAATCAAGTATTAGTATATCTAACCAAGAAACTCATGCAAAGGTCAATCAGGGACTTGAGAACAATGTGTTTGGTGATTAGTCCAAACCAAAGGCACTAAACTTACAAGTGGCAATTCAGGATTACATAGCTAGATAATACTCATGTTTTATCAGAAAACCCCTAACATATAGAAAGGATTGCTTTAAAAAGTCTAAGAAATGCACAGTGCTCCAAGAACTCCAAGATTATGGGATACTTCATTTGTAATTTAGAACAATACATATTATGAATAAAACAACTTTGAAAAATCTGAGCATTTAAAATCAAGCATCCTAATATAGGTCCTTTTTCCTTTAAGAGATTATAAAATCACAATCACAGAAGCATATCTGAGTTAGAAAGGGAAGACAACAAAAACAGTCATTCCCATCATGAACTAAGCATCAATAGCCAGGCACTGAACCAGAACCTTGTATTTGCAATGAGTTTGCAAGATGTGTATTGTTACCCTATATTACAGTTAAGGAAAAACAGATTAATAAGTCATATGGAAATATTTAGGAAATATTTATTAGGAGTATTCTTAACAAACTATCCTTAGCTTTTTACTTTGCTCTGTTACCTGCTAAGTAAAAAGAAAAACAGTAACACAAAACATAAAAAAATTTTCTTATATATTTCCAGTGACATATCTATTTGGCTAATAACTTATATACCAGCCACAGTTTAAGTAAAAGGAAAATCTCATTAATTTTAATTCATGATAATACCAATTTTTATCTGCATGAAGTCGATTACCCCCATAGAAACGAAAAACATTTTATTTGTATTGCTGAAATTATTTCAGCAATTTAATACTCTTATCTAATTACCCCAAATAAAAATGGGGTTAAAAACCAAAAATGTATACTGATTCCATTTCTTAATATGGCATTTTTATTAGCAAATCTTAGTTTTTGCTTCATAAACACAGTGATTCTTAGATCTACTTTCAAATGATCTTCAATTATAACTATAATTTTTATATCCCTGCCTTTAGAGAATTGGCTACAATAATTTCAATTTTGTATCTACAATGACAACAAAGTAGAGCAATTATACTTGATGGCTGCTGTGTCAATACAGTGCATCGGGACAGCCTCTAACTCAAGGACAGGCAGCTCAGGGTACTATGAAAAGAGTATCCATTTAAGAAGCATTCCACCATTATCCACAGCTTGACCTTCATCTTATCGCCTATGGTCTCATTTATTTTCTCCTTCCCTTTCTTGAACTCTGGAAATAAAACTAAAGGCACTTAGAGGCAAACTTACTACTTGTGACCTTACTCTAGATCAATATGTGGTTGTGAGCATACTGTGCTTCCTGTCACTGAGTTCCTGAAGCCTTTAAAACTTCCTAAGTGGTGTTAAGTATCTTCTATAATTTACGATTAGCTCTTTCCAACCATACCTGAGTTTATGATGGAGGTGATTTAATGTATGGCCCTATGTAGCTTCAGAATGGAGTTGGTCCTGGAAGAACTAACCATCTTTACCCCATGAACTCCAGGAAGGGACTGGAGATTGAGTTCAATCACATGGTTAATGCTTTCATCCTAAACTTTATATAGGCGTCCAGTGTATGTTTGCAAATACAAACCCTACACTACAAGGTTCAATGAACACATCAATATGAAGGAGAGCAGCGTGCATGGACGGGGCATGGAATTGCTGCATGGCCCCCAATTCCATGCCTATGCTATACATCTCTTTCATCTGTCTCGTTTATAAAACTGTCACAAGTACCACACTTTCCTGAACTTTATGTCATTCCTGCCAATTATCAAACCTGAGGGTGTTCCAGTACTTCCTAAATTTGTAGTTGGCAGGCGAAAGGGTGGGTGCACTAAGGACCTCATGTCTACCTGGCATGTGAAGTGGGGTTAATCTTGTGGAACTGAGGCCTTAACTGATAGAATCTGTGCTAACTCTGGGTTGTATTCTATTTGAAGGACTTTGACCATAACTTGTGGAGTTT